TACGTTTGTAGCTTTGCTGTCCTGCCTGTGAATCAGTGCTATGAGGCTGAAGTAAAACTGTCCTAATTTAGCTTTTGATCCAAAGTCTGGACTTTGATTTTTAATTTCTGCTGTTGAGCAGCAAAACTATTTGTCAGGAATTAGGTACTGAATTCCCAGACCAACAGAGGGGCACAACTGGATGATGGCTAAAAGATGGGGTTTTGAGAGAATTAAATGAAAGACCTGTTACTAAATCTAGAAGTGTGTAGAAATTCAGTACAATTTACAGTTAAAGATGACTTAAATTCCATTTTAGCAGACATAGCCTTTTTTTTAAGATATCCATTAACACATATATAAATCAATTCACATATATCCTGTATACAAAATGTAGTGAAAAGATTGAAGCAAAGTATTCAAAAGGAAATGGACTGAGGTCATCTTTACAATATTTAAATTTACCATTCTCATGTATGTGTTGCCTCCCAGCCTGTTTTTGTGTTCAAAAAACGTGTAGACACGGCACTTCAGGACGTGGTTTAGTGGGCATGGTGGTGTTGGGTTGATGGTTGGACTTGATGATCTGAAAGGTCTTTTCCAACCTTAATGATTCTATTCTATGATTCTATGTATTATTACAAACCTTTTTCATTAGATCCTACCTCATGTAAACTCCCAAATTGTCTGCTGTAGGAAGTACATTGAGATTGTACATATTGTGGATGCACATTGTGCCAAAGATCCCATTCTATATACACAGAAAAGGTCTACACAGTGTCAGCAAAGTGCAGGAAAAGAGAATGTTAACAGAAGCCTTGTGAATACCAGATTCATGTAATGCATATTTTCAACTTATTTTCCCCAAAACATTGAAGTTTCCGATTCAAACTGCCAAGCAGCCAGTTGTTTGCCCCTCTATGTGACAGTTTAATGGTGATCTTTTCATTTCATTCTCATATATTATGAAATTCCTGAATGCTCTTATGCACACTAAAACAACCAACCAGCCCCCTACCCCTCCAAATCCTCTTTAAGCCTAGAATGAATGTAGGGGTGAGTATTTCAGAAGATGTATGTATGACAATGTTTCATTACTATCTGGAAAAGGACCCTTAGGACAAAGACATTAAGAATGTTAATCCTGTTCTTATAATATCTTCCTAAAATGCTGTGCAGTAGAAAATATTTAATTAGCTTTGTAAAATTGTTAGCAAAACTTAAAAGCCCTGAGCTGAGGGCAGAGGGGGAACTGTCTGACCGTTACCATAAGTAGATTATCTTTTTGCCCTTTGAACTCATGAAATGGTAATAATGAAACAAATTCTACTGTAGACACCTGTCAGAAATGACCCAAATGTGAGAATAAATCCTTGTATTATAATGAGTGTCCCTGGTGTTGTAAATGCATTCATAATGTAAAACTGTAGGTAAAGAGAACAAAGCTTATACAATAATTAAGTTTGGTACCTTGTGTGCTTCTTGTTCTATAGCTGCAATGGCAGTAGGTATTATGTAGAGAAACTAAATCATACTGCATTATTTAATGCATTAGGATAAATTCCAAACTATGTGAGCCTGATGAGCTGCAAGTATTTGCCCTGTGGCAAGTAAAAGTATCCCACTATGGGAAGGTCCCTCCCAAAGTATAAAGTGACAATAGTTAACTGCAAAGTTTTTCTGCAGGTCACAATTTTCAGTTATATTCACTTTTCAGTTCTGTCGCCATTCCTTTGCCATGGAGCTTCCTTCTCCAGTGCCACCATTGTGGAGTGGCTGGAGGAGCTCAGATTCTAGTGGGAGAATCTGGTCTCAGTGCACTGTGTATGAACGGAAAGTCATACAGGCTCAGATACACGTGGGCCTTTTCAAGAATAGTACAGGTTCTCCTTCCTTGTTTAGGGGATGTAGAAAAGACCCTTCTGACCATCGTGCTTACCCTCCTTTATTAGTGTGCTGCCATAGCTCACAACCCATGCATCTCTTGCTCAGAATTGCTCAGAATTCCCTGCTATGGTATGGTGTTCCCATTTTAAATGGGAAGTTTGGCTGACCACAGGGGCCTACATCATAGGCCTGTCTGTCCCTGAAGAAAGGATGGTCCCAGTGGCCATGAAATACCTGCAGAAGACAGATGTGGAGTCACCCAACCCTTTAGCCTGGAGTGTTCAGAAGGGTGCTTTCATAGGCCTGGAGATCTTTTGTTCTTCTGGAGGTTGGTGGTTGTACAGCCAGTTATCTCTACTGCTTTTAAAGAGTTCATTATTAAGCAAACACTCTCCATAAAATGCTGGGTTTAAGATACGCTTTTTCTACTTTGTATTTCTTCTTTTTTATTTAAAAAGCATCTTTGTGTTACACTGAAACTCACTGAAAACTCCCCTAGAAAGTTGGTGTTACTTGTAACGTATGAAGACCAGACAATTTAAAATTCAGACTTGAATACAGTAATCAGTGAGCATTTGCCAACCTTTGCCAATACTTGTCTGTGACATTACAGTGTTCTCCCTAGGGTGTTTGATTTTTGGTTTTTATTCCTTTAGTTGATGAAGAATCAAGTCATATTCGAGTTTAATTCATTCTCCTATTACATGACCATAAAAATTTTTGCACTACAGTAATGCAAGTAGTAAATTCTGCCTCTACTGGTAACGCTGCTACTCTGATACTATATTAATCTATTACTAAGCTATTCTTGGATATTCTGAGGTGATCTTAGTAGCTTCTTGTACCAGTTAAGTAAGAATCTTTATTATTTTCATTTGCAATTGCATTCCATGTAATAATTTTTAGACTTGTGAGTAGTCTATCTGAATTCATTAGTCTGCTTTAAGGTAAAACTATACGTTCAGAAGTGAATGATTGAGCCCATTATTTTACCATCATGTTAGATCAGACACCAATGTCTGATGTTACTTTCACTTGATCCAAATTTTCTAACTAGACATTAAAAGAAAAATCTATTAAGGATTTCATATGACTTTTAAATGTTAGTAGGAGTCCATGTGGCACAGTTGAGCACTGGATCTGGAATTTTTTTGGATACGTATGCTTTGTTTCCTCTACCATTGAATGACCCGTTTCTCAAACGTGTAAAAAAGAGTTACCTTTCACTGCCTCAGATGATCCTCTCTGAAACTATTACAGTAGTATCTACTTCGTTTTATTAAGAGCTCTAACTGAAGAGCATAAGAAAAGTTCTCTTAAAGTCTTTTCAAGTAAGATGTCTAACTTTAGTGGGGATGTGAGGCAGTGGGTGTTTCTGTAGGTATCTTTGTTATTAACGTGTGACTGGGTTAAGAACAACAAAAAAAAATACTTATTTTTAAGTTTGACAATTCTGGATTGTTTTGTAATTTAAACAAATAGCTGACTTTTTTTTTCATTACCATGTGTTACTAGTTTTTGTATTTGAATATAGTTTTGCCTTCCAGTTCTGACAGCCTATTTTTGGGTTCAAAAAGAGCAGAAGTTCATTATCGATAAGCTGGCTAAAAGGCGTGAACAGGCATTTCAGCTCTGCTCTGGCTGTGGCACGTAGAGCTTTCCACCTGTCATCTACGCATTAAACTAAGTCCCACCTTACTGTTTGTCTTTTATTGCTGTTTGGCTGGAGGTGGGGTTTTTATAGAGCGGATGCTATAACAAGAGCAGATGTTTAAAAATATGTTGACAACCATGGGATTTGTATTATTTTGAAATTCTTCAGTAATCATTCACCTCAGGCCAAAAAAAAGATGTTGGATTCTGTGGTTGTGGTATTACTACTGGATTAGAATTTTAAGCAAAATTCCTAATAATACTCCTAAAGGTATTATTCTTTGGTATTATTGGAAAAATTATGGGAAAGGTTTTTTTGTTGGTTTGTTTGTTTTTAATCACTGTGAGTTATTGGTTTAATCTATTTATGTTAAACTAGTTTTATTTTAATGTTAGCTAGCATTTGTATTGCATAGGGCTTGATTTTCTGGTAGATTTTTTTTAAATCTACATCCATAATATTTTTAACCTTTCTTTGCAGTGTTTGCTAGTTCTGAGCCTGTGCCAGGATTCCAGGGAGACACCCTGCAGTTAGCTTTCATCGACCTCAGACAAGTAAGACACTAGTTGTTGTTTTTTATCCTACTAATTTCCCCTTTTGACCAATGCTGAAGTTATTAAATTCAAGAACCTTTCATGTTTTTGCATTCCCATGTAATTAGTTTTGAAAAGCGGTTATTTGAAGTGTTATTAGTGGCACTGTTCCCTGTAATTTAGCATAAAACTGTTTCTCCAATGTGTTGTTAGGGGGCACTGTGCTACTGGTGGTACTGTTCGGGGATATAAGATTGAATTTTGGTCCTGACAATTTTGTAAAGATCCTGTGATGTCTTTTTGCAAGAGTGTACATGTTACTCTGGTGTGTGCTGGCCTGATTACATTTTGAGCAATTGCTTCTGTCTACAAAACTACTCCCTGGAGAGCAGGATTGGGCATAGTATTATTTAGCATTTCCTTTCCTTAATTTGTTACATAGAATTCTTTCAAACTGTTAGAGGGCACCTTTATTCCAACTGTTTGATCTTTATTCTATATCAAATTTAATTTTAAGTGCCTTAATATCAGAAGCACAATTCCACAGTTCCTGACAAAAGGAAGGCTTTTCCAGACTAAACTGTATTTACTGTAATTTCACATAGTTATTTCTGTTCCCTGATCTCTGTAAATTCTGACACTATATCCACCCATAGCAATTCATTTTCAAAAACGTTTCATAGTTGAGGTAAGCTTTTAGGAAGGATTTATTATTTCACAAAATTGTGAGTATGTGTCATTTAAATAGTGAAATGAATTATTAACTGTATAAGGAGGGTCTTTAGCTTTCTGCAGATGTTGGTGATATTTTTAAGCACCATTATGAGCCTGTCAAAGTCATCAGAAAAGAAGAAAAATGTAGAAAGAATTCCATACCACATTATCTATATAGTAAGGATATTTTTGCTTTTAATAATTTAGTAGGTTTTTCACAGCAAGATAATGAAAAGTCATTTCAGAAGGGAAAATTCCCAAGGCAAAAGTATTCCAGTTTCTCCTAATAGTTAGAAAGGCCTTCATTAAAGTGTATTTTTAAATGAAAAAGTTAAAAGGTAGAATTGTGTGTTACATTCTCACAGTAATATAACGATGAGCAATATCTATGATGGGATAAGCCTGGACTACGTGAGGAGGATACAGGATCGTGGCCATAAGATTTGTTCATGTGATACACGTACTTTAGGAGTTCCAGAATTCAGTATGTAAAGATGTACTCTGCCAGACTTCAAATACCACAAGTCTTGCCTTGACTAGCAGCCTTCCTCTTTTGGATTCTTTTTTATTCTCCTTTTATTATCAATGTTAGAAGTGACTAAACATCTTCCAATTTGTACTAGGTCAGTTTAGTTGAAGGGAAAGGATGTTGAGAGATTTTGGCACCATTTCTGCCATCCACATAAGTGCTATAAATCCTTGCAGAGCCTCTGTTTGTTTCAAGGGCAAACATGATTTCCAGCTATGCAGGAGGGCAGGGTGTGTACACACTTGCTACCGGAAATAAATAATATTTTTGTATGTTTTAAGCACTAGCTGTCGAGTATGTCACATAAGTAGGGATTATGTTGCTTATGATAGCTCTCAGTTTGTTAGCAACTTACAATTTAGAATTCTCTTGATGCAAGTAATGCTTTATAAAGAATGCTCTGTATGCCATGGGAATCTAATCCATTTCAGATATTTTATGAACTGCAGAAGTGTGGAAGTTCTCTTTATTAGGTTGCAATTTGAGCTTGTAGATGTAGAGTAGTTCTAGTATATTTGTTTTGTTTTTTACTATATTTTTGTATGCCTCACCAAAAGGCATTGCAAGTGCACATTAAAAACAACATTTACCATTTAGTAAGGGTTTGCAGTGTTTTCCCTTTCTTCCTTATTTGTGATCCATTTCTATCTTAATAGTGTGGATGACAGTTCTTTTCAAGCATACTTAGAAAGGCAACAGAGCCTTTTTCAGAAAGTTCTTATAAAAGGTCATGCTTCTGGTTTTTAGTTTGAATTTGATACTTCTTCATGAATTGCAGGATATGAAAGATAAGGAAGTAGGTCCAGTGGTCAGGTTTTACCTGCCCACCCGGGCTGTGCCCTGAGGTCAAACTCCTGATATTGGCTGTTTGGTACAGAGGAGCTGATGACAGGTAGGGGCTGATACAAGGGGGAAAGCTTGAACCGTATCAAAGCTAAAAGGCAGGAGATTTGGGACTCAGTGAGAGACTGTAGCTAAAAGATGGATCAGCAGGATTGCCCTCTTCTTAAAAAGCAGCTGACCTGCAAGGGAAAAGACTTTATCGTCCTGCCAATCACATGGTTGCTAATGGAAGCCAGTTATCTCAACAACAGCTTACTCACTCTCTGTTGTACTAGGGCAATGTGTAAGATTAATGAGGGTTGGGCAGTAGAATATTGTAGCACATTTTAGTAAAGAAGTAAAGTCACTTACAGAGACCCAGCTTGGAAGACAGAGAGGGAAGAGCTGCACTTGGATGGTTATGACAGGGGGAGGAGCAGCTTTGAAAAGAATTGCCACAGGTATTTTTGTCCTAACTGTTCCTGATCCTGCCTCCTTCCCTGAAGACAGTGTATGGACAGCATGTTGTCCCCATCAAGCCTACTTCTTTCCTTCTTCCTTCCACAGACATACAAGAGCAAACAGAAATAGAAACAGTTGGCATGACAGGGAGTTAATTCTAAGAAGAGAACAGTAGTTAGCAGCAGGAAGCTCTAAGAGGCCAGGAATCATGAAGGGACAGGCACTTACCAATGTCCCCTTTAATAAACCACCCCTTTCTCCTTATACTATCCCCTCTGATGTTCTTGTCATACTTAACATGTTCCCTAAAGATCCTAGTAATCTGTAGAAACCTTAGTCAATAAAGATTTTTGTGCTATTCCCATAACCGTAGTATCTCAGCATCTTACAGAGGTGACTTGGTGTGGTTGACTAATCACACATAGTGCATTTGTTCTCTGTTCTGCTTGCTTCTGCCAGGAGAAAGACTTTTATGTGCATAGGTGACTTTCTGATTTTTACGTCTTGACTGTGCTCTGCTATATATGTTTGGCAGACAAAACAGAAAAGAACTGTTGGAGGGGGCACAATTTCTGAGAATCTTAAAAGCTTATATATCACGTGGAATAACCTAAAAAAAAAAAAGAATGCAGGATAATTTCATGTTCAGACAGTCTTTTCTATGTGAGTGGTTTACTTCAAATGGAAGAGTCCATTTTACTTACTTCGTGCTGGCTGGTAGGTTATAAGCATAGTCAAAAATGTACTTGGCTTTTGCATCTATAGCAGCCAAAGGATATATGTACCCATGTAGTTTCATCCCTGGGCTGATAAGAGGGGATTATGTTTCAGACCCAAGAAGATGGGCAGTGGCTGTAGAACCACAGAATAACACACAGCATTTTCTTGGAGAGATCCCTGAAGTTTACTGCATGGAAAACACCAATATATAATTCCCCATACTAGCAGAAAATCATGTGGCTATGATCCTCTAGAAACTTGCAGCTTCAGCTAGTTTAGCAGCTCCTAGAGCAGTAAGCAGCTGCTAAGAGAATTGGGATAGATTCATGCTTCTGTACAGCTGCAGTAATTGTATCATGCCTCATGCCACTTTTCTTAGCTGTATGACCTGAGGTCATACCTATGTGCACCTTTTCACCCCACTTACTTAAAGCTGCTGAGGGGCAGGCCAGCTCAGCAAGGCGATTATCAAAGTGGCATGTGTTGCTTTTAAAGAGACTGGTCTCTGGCATCTCGTGAAGATGACCCAGCTCTCCTGCGACCTGCATCGCTCCCTGAAGATAATCTCTTGCTACTGTCTATATAGGGAGCCTGGGTAAATAGTGCAGTGGCCCAAAGTGATGTGGAATGAACTTTTGGGATTTTGCTACCAATTCAGATCCTAGGTCAATTGGAATTAACCTTCAAAAGTAAACAGGTATTAGTTCGTCCTACTTGAATTAGTCTCTGAGGAAGCTCAGCCTCCAACATGAATTAGTTTTGCCCTGGTTACAATCTGTTCTTTAGTGCCTAAAGACTAGGGTTACAGTTCTGGAATGTAAAGCAGTTTCTTGGATGTCCTGAACACTTAAATACTGTGAGGGAAAGGCCTGAATCTTACAATTTGTGTGTTATTCTTTGGAGAGCTAGTGTAGTGTGCAGTGAACAGGAACAATAACCTCGTGGTAGCCAGAGAGGTCAAGAGTTGCTGTCCTAGGGCAAATTTCCTGATTCTTAACCAACTGGGTTGGTGGTTACAAATACCTATTCTTGAAATCAAATCACTGCCTGCAGAGTTATAACCTAAGCTGCAAATGTAGATTGGCTTTTTTTCACTTTAGACTTCACAAGTTGTTTCTAGTGTTTCTCTCTGCCACCAGCACTCACTTCAGTTTCAAACAGGCCATCTTCCTCTATTGTCTGATCTCAGACAAGTACTCAGCTAGCTTGATGATTGTGGAATTTCCTTGTTTTGCCAGGGGTGAGGAGAACCATGTCTCATCTGTGTTCTTTTGGCACTTAAGTACATGTTGTTAATATTCTCCAGTTGCTGCCAGTGCTGGTCCTGCAACAGGGGCAGCCGTCTCAAGTGAACATAATCATATGCTGTCGGTAACCCCAGAGGTAAGCAACCACCATAGCAGTATCTCCACCCACATGGCAACATGGAGTTTACAGTCAGATAGTGATGTGTCCCAGTCTGTGAGAACAAGGGCTGTGAACAAAAAGGTCCATAAATACTGCATAGGTATGGGAGAAAATTCTCAAAGATTTTCAGCAATTTCTGTTAACATTTTTCTAACATTAGAGATAAAGTAGATGTAAAGTCATAATGCAGTCAGTGTGATTAATATACAGAATAATGTACCATGGAAACATTAGAAGATACGTTTTTGTCAGACTTTTGTTTAGGATAAGTGGATAAGCACTTCTATAAGATCAGGTTATGGTTAATATACAATATGTATTCCTCCTAAAAATGGATACCTGATATTTAAGAGTATGATACATTTTC